GGGAGTGGGAGTGGGGCGGGGGTGGGGACTCCAGTAAGACGCTGGAGTATAGAGTCGGCGGAGAGCGGATGAAGGGGGTGGGGCGGGGAGGCGACTCCAATACAATGCTGGAGTAGAGATTCGGAGGAGTGGGTGGGGGTGGGGGTGGGAGCTCCAGTAATACGCTGGAGTAGAGTCGGAGAGCGAATGGAGGGCAGGGACGGGGGGTGGGGGTGGGGACTCCAGTAATACGCTAGAGTAGAGAGGTGGAGTACGCTGGAGGCGGAGCGGGGCTGGGGTGGGAAGAGACATTGGGTGTGACCGGCAACGGGGCAGTGTGGTAGTTATTTCAACCAGGGTACTTCCCACCTGATATATGTAGGTCGAATCTTGGCAGTGAATCAAACGAAGAAAAAAATCCGGAAGTGTGATAGAATTGGGTCATACTGCGAGCCCAGCTGCAAAGCCCGGGAGAGGAAAATTGGCGTAGAATAGCGCCCGCACGCAGGATACAGACTGAGCGTCGAGGGAGTGAATCAGCACTGCGAAATCGTAGAACTAATGGGCGACCAAGGGCGTCAGACAGGCTCCAGTGGCAGTGTTGGTAGCGGTGGTGCCTTGGCACACGCAACCAGCGTTCTTTCAAGATGCCGTAACAACCACAGGACAGAGCGATGTACGGCACATTGCTAATAATATTGTCGGTATTCCACCGCTCCACTAAGTAATAACGCAGTCACGGTCACGATCAAGCTCAAGGCCAAACCCAAGGCCCAGGTCAAGGTCAGTCAAGGTCCGTCACGGTCAAAGTCACGGTCAAAATCAAGACCATCCCAATGGCCACTAACCATCACATCCCGCCCCATCCAATTTTTTTCACCTCTTAAGTCCCACCCAACCCAATATCTCCACCTCGTATCTCATAACCGGTCATTTTTCTTTAGCGCACCACGGACCTCGACCGCGGAGCCATCGCCAGTGATGGACCACCGCCGATTTCCATTTCCCGGCCATAGCCGGCCGGCCTGCCGACTTGTTGAGTGCCCCCCCCCTCGAGACCCCCCCTCAGGTCGTCCCCAGCGACCGAGACCCGATCAATGATCAGATTCGGTCGCAGAGTACCGCCAGAGCAGCTAGCGAGTCTCTCGAAAACAACGGGAAGGTAACGGGAATGATACGACTGAGTCGACTGACGCTATTGTATGTAGAGCTAGAGGCCATGTAGGCAGTCATGGAAGTAATGTGGAACTAATTTGGTAGCAATGACTGCTAACTGCGTGAAAAAATACTAATTGATTAGCAGGTATTCACGTAAGCGCATTGTTCAAAATAAATGTAACAATATGTAATTTGCATGGCAGAAATATAAGTTTCTTCTCACTGATATAAATTTTGACGTCAAATGCCGTGAATCCAAGACAACCTTTCAGTGAGATTGGGTCCAGAGAGATCTGACTGACTCCGGACTCGGCGTTCCTTTTCGTTTATTTATCCTCAGGAGTTTTGTGGGAGTTTTATTTTCACAGCGTGATGTCTGTAAGAATAATAAACAGAACACCTAGAAAAGTTTCATACCATATCATGCTCTGTAAGCTGTTCTCGTATTTCTTACGGGCGTTATCCAAGTTGCAATCTGCTGTTGAGTCCGATCAGTCTTTAGCATTGGTAATGCAGTTTGTCATTACAAGTGTATAAAGGTGAGTCTTACTTGCACTGCCTTTTGCCCGTAACGATGATTGGTCGGATATGCACACCACCAACCCTGCTTAAGAGTGAAGAGTTAAGTTGACAGCTGTGGTGAAGCGGAACGAGGATATTACAGGATGCGATTCTGATAAAAACGCATCCTTTGGATGCATAGAAACACGTTTTTTCAACTAGTTATAAGCTGCATTGGTCATTTTTCCATGAATATTCATTTCGACTCAAAACATCCATGAGCGAATGCGAATACAACTTAAGAGCCTCCAAGGTCACACAACAACCTTGAAACTCGCCGCAAGCATCACAAAAGTCACCTTGAGACGGCATCCCCAACAAACCACCTCAGACGTCTCCACATCCCTACAACTAACTCCCTTCTTCAGACGTCTTCAGACGTCTCCCGTATCCCGCCCCCCCCCCCCCGTACCCTCTCATTCAAACGGCAAGTCAGCGTGATCTCGCTGTAGGACCCCCCCCCCCCCCAACACTCTTAACGACTTCAGGGTCGCCATTGACCACAGTACACACACACTCGAGCTACCAATCAGGCGGCGAGCGCCCGACAGCTCATGGCCAGCGCTCAAAAGTGCTGAGTCATTGTTAAAAAAGCCAGATGAGCCGCTGGGCCGCAAGCCCAAGTCATGTCACAAAGGTACGGTTTGGAGTCAACGTCAACAGCACTGGCTGAAATTCAGTCGGTGTAAACTGGAAACAAGTGCAAAATGATGATAAGTCCGAACCTAAGCAAGTTCCTAAGTCCCTAAGTCCGAACCAGCTGAAGCGAATATACATAATAAGGAAGCCATTGAATGAGACACAAAAATTGCTACAACTCTGGTCAACAAGCATGACAGTCATCCCGGAGTATTTGGTAATAATCGCATCAGTTGAAGGAGAAGTCATTGGTGGCAGAAAGATTCCGGTAATATCCAGTTCCAGCTAGTTCGATCTGGTTTCATCGAGATAGCGGAGACTGGCGGACGGATAGCACAGGTCACTGTCAGATCGGGTCGGGTCGAGTCATGTCAGGTCAGGTCATGTCAGGTCAGGTCAGGCGATGTTGAGTCCCAGGGGCGTGACAAGTCCAGGGTGCGTCAGGGTAGGATTTTGTTCAGGATAGGTGCCGTGGGTTAGCAATGGGACGTGATAAAACGGTGCAGAACGCCGAACGGCAGATACAATTAAGCCAGCACTGATGAGATTCCACTAACGTTACCAACATTACCACGCAGAACGTAAATTATATGAATAGAGATAAAGTGGCCAAGGTCATGCAACTTCATAAAAAATGGTTTAATTCAGTCGCCAATATAATGATAATGCTTGCAATTTAATGGCGCCTGTCTGCGCTATCCATCGCCACTCATTCATTCAGAGCTCGCCCGAGAAACGCCACCACAAATCCCGCACCCTGCGACCGGCGACTTCCCGTCCTATCCGTCCCCGCCCACCTCCTCACCAATCCCCCCCCCCCCCCCACCGACGTCCGACGCGGAACGGCCATATCGGGTCTGTCAGATGCTGTCATTGGATCTGACAGCCACTGAGCGGGCGACAGTAGTGCGCACTTGGGCAGGCCGCAGGAGGAAGTGGCACGGGAAACCACTGGCAAGGCGGCTAGTGCGTTAGAGGAGACGTAGACGCAGGGGTTCCTCGTGGATAACGAGTCTTTAATCCCGGATCCGTTACCGTCTATGGTTTGAGTGAATGTGACAAGATATTATTTCATCAGTTGACCCTTCATTTAGCAGTACCATCAACAAGTTATCATCAGAATTTAAGTAGTGAAATTATATACCTAACCGCAAACCAACTCCAGGATGACTGGGACGCGTTCGTTGATCACATACACCCAGCAGACTGTATCTAGCGGCGCGCACCACCACACCGAATCCGCAGCTTGGCAACTACCGTACCCTTGGCCTTGACAACCAGCGTCTTGCAAATCAGCGTTACCAGACTTCTCAGGTCCATGGTCAATAGCTGTAAGCAATATGTGGAGGAACACAGAGGAACTCTTGTATCATTCATGCTTCGTTTTTAAATACCTCGTCTTGCTCTAAATGAACACAACTGCAAGCTATTCATGCCCTAAGCCCATGCTGCTGACCTTTCCTAAAAAAGCATTCATTCAGCCACATTTGGCGTGTAAAAAGCAGTATTCTTCAATGTGCGTGCCGTCTCCGACACATATTGTTTATCCTGTTGAGAAAACGACCGAAAGTGCGCCTGAGAGGCGAGTCAGTGAGCCAGACACGCCCCCTCCCCCTCCCTCCCTTTCTGAGCGAAACCGTGTCTGCACCGTGGGAGATTGAGATTAGACAGGCAGAAATACTAAATCAAAATATTGCTTTAAATTCCATATATCAATATGGTTGGAAATATATGGTTCCAGAACGAAATACTATCAACATTTGATTTGATGCCCAACATGAAAAAGAAGCCTAACGAAACAAAGACAATGACTGATGACAGCAAGATCAATCGCAATGTGTGCGGCTTGGTGAAAGCGGCAGGACCTGCTTTCGCTGCCGACTTCGCTCAGCCTAACATGAAGTCATCGCGCAGGTGGAAATATATGTGAGTAGCAGAGCTTCCTGAAGAAATTTGAAACTGATATCCACGTAGCCTCCAGCTGCGTGGAGCAAAATGTTTGAAGAAACAGAAAGCCAAACAATGATTCTAGATTCGATTAGAAACCGAAACGTAGCACACGCGGAGAGCGGTCGCTGACTTACAGTCAACAGTTTCACCATTGCGTACGTGCACCTGCGCACAGTACGAACAAGTTCTATAGTGAATCTCATATTTTAGCCTTTTCCTCACTCGGACAGAAGTATAGACACTCATCGACGACAAATAAAATATAACTATAGCGCTCTGCGCTGACCCTCTGAGATGCCACGGTATTGCGGAGACATCACTCACAGGAAAACCAATCCACAGACGACGGTATGCACGGGAACAGGACTGGTGCCCGAACGAGCTATAGGCCTGACATCTATCGTCCAACAGGACAAACTAGGACAGATGGCGCCAGCTGTCGGCAACAATGAAGATCCCAGGCTCACTCCCAAGTGCCCAATGCCCCACATAAACCACCTCGCCCTACGAACAGGTTCATATCATCATGCTAGGCTTTATCATTCTAGTCATATCTGTTATGGTCAACTGCTTACAATGTTGCATTTCCTCTTCACGTCTAACAAAATAATAGCCATCTACCAACAAGAGTAAGCAGAAAGTACTGTCCCATTGTTTGCTTGATGGCAAAAATTTATGCATATAAACAAAGTACTGACATTCCCTGAACTCACCTGAGCCAGTTTTGCCTTCTTGTTCCTCGGTTCTGTGCCATCCTCCACAGGATGCTCCGATTGCCCCTGGATAGGCTGTTGCGGCATGGCTTGCCAGCTGGTTGTGACTAGATGAATGAGTATTAGAAGTGATTAAGATGCACTTGTTTAGTGAGTGCCACCTGCAACATACAACATCAATGCTGATTTATTGCCCTGAGATCCAGTGATAAGATGTTGTGATGCAATGCATAGGTAGGTGGTTTCTTGATCATAAAAGCATGCCGAAGGACTTCCAAATAAGAAAAGCCAATGTGGTAGGCTTAGTTTTCAAAAGCTGATAATTACTTATTTTAATACCTACCTGACGGCAAAAAATCCATTACAATTAGGTACCTAATTAACATGATGCTGCCGGTTGAGTAGTAGGTTCGTAGTCAGCACCATATTCTTCAAATAGGGGGATCAGTGAGAGGTAATGGTTACAGAATAAAGCAAACTGCTATTAGCACAGTACCTTTAACAAAGCTGGCTCAAATCCACATCCTGATCCCTAGGATGAGAACAAATCCATGTTTCCGTGAATCAATCCCAATCCATTCAGAATCACTCAAAACATACCATTTAGCAGGGAGACTACTTCAACTTACCAAAGTGTGACTAGCTTGAGAGTCTCCTTATCTTGCAACAAGACAGATGTCCTAGCAATAACTTCGGATCCTAACTAGAGGCTGTTGTTGTTGTTGTGTTGTTGTGGGTTAGGGCGCGTAGCAACTTGGCTCTTGCGTCCAACCCTAACTAGAGGCGCCAATCCAACGCCAAACACATTCAACACACGTATTTTGCCCCGTTGGATTTTGTAGCAGCCGCGCCAGAATAGCACCAACGTATTATCTTCCAAATTAAAAAATGTAACATTATAAGTCAACTGATAATGTTTTTTCTCCGCGGTGAGGGCGAGCGCCGCCCATGTGATTGCGTCATACCGCCCGCTCGTCAGGTCCGCATGACCCGAGCCCGGGTCATTCGCGCTCGCAGCGCCGCCGAGAGCAGTCAGCCACTGAGCCGTGGGCTGAGCCCGGCGCTTCCTGCTTTTCGTGACGTGTCGTGTTTTTTCGACACTGCTGCTGCTTGACAGCACTGGAGGTGAGGTGTCTTGGAGATCGCATTAGTGATAACTATGTCGATACCTTTGCGGCCGCATTGCCGATCAGCAGATATTGCATCTAGATTCTTTGCTTGGACTTTCCAAGTCTGACTGGTCTCATCGCTGATGACATCTTAATGTTTCGCGTTACGTGCGAGCTTGACAGTCTGTGCTGTGCGCGCAATATTCTCGGCCCTCGTCAACCTCCGGTCTAGCAGCATGATTTTCGCATTTTAGGAGGCTCGTTTGTAAATTACCTAAGTACCTATAGGTAGCACCAATCAAGCAAAACTAACTTCTCGCTGAGTTTTGAGCTGCATGGGACGGTCTAATTCCGTCCCCGCCTACCGGTTTCCTTTCCCGTCTGTGCCGTGGACGGTCGCCAGCCGCATCAGCTGCTCATGCCTCGGGGCATTTATCGGCGTCTGGTGCCTGGCCGGCGCGGCCCGGACACTAGTCCGGCCGACCTGCCCACTGGGCCCCCGGGGCATTGACCTACTGACCTCTCTCCCGCATGGGGCGATTCGCATTGACCAGATTCGGACGCAGATACATAAGTGAGTGATGGACAAATAACTTACAGCTACATCACTACAGCTATTACAGCATCCTGGCATGAAAATTTTGCGATGGATTAGTACATATGAGCTTTTCCACCGCTGCATTGGCGTCTCAGTGCATCGCTTGCCTCAACCTCGGTCGTCTCCGGGCGTTTTGCAAAATGAAAAAAAAAATAATAAAACTCTGGTAACACAAAGTAGCCTTGGGTAACACGACTCATTATGCATTGCTGCCTCAGTACAGGGCAGGTACAGGGCTCGCTTAACGCGTGCCCCGTGCATCTATGGTTTGCTTTTTTCTCTAACGAAATGAGCAGAAGTACGCGTCACTTGGCAATATTATTCTATTAGTAGTAAAGTTCCGGTTGTCTCCGGCACACAGGGCAGCCTGACGCATTAAATGCTGCGTTTTCTGGCATGAGACAGTAGCATAAAGGCCTCTCAATTGCACTGGCTCAGGACATGTTGGATTTTTCTCCGGCCATGCCAAGTGTTACCGGCTATTACTTAGAGTACGCCATGTTGGCACGCCACATGCCACATTTTTAGGTAACACAAGTTGGCTTGTTTGTCCGGTCGTTTTATCGACTTTTCCGTCGTTTATAGGCATCACAGCTGCGTTGTCGGCTCAGTGCATAGCCAGTCTCGGCTCTGGTCGTCTCCGGTGCTGCGTTTTAGATGAACACGTGCAAAACTGCGTTTTCTGGAATTTATTAGCACGCATTTCACACTGCGTCGCCGTCTATGAATAACTTGTTTATGCTACGGTCGCACCCGAGTCCGGTGCTGCCGCCTTGTTAATGGCAAACCAGTAAAATACTGGTCAAATTTCAGTAGCATATTCAGCTAGCGCTGCGTTTGAGTCGAGCGCGCGTTCAAAGCGTTGTCGTCTCAGGGTCGAGCTAGCATAGGCTCCGGTCGACTCCGGTGCTGCCGCCTTGTTAATGGCAAACCAATAAAAGGGTCGAGCTAGCATAGGCTCCGGTCGACTCCGGTGCTGCCGCCTTGTTAATGGCAAACCAATAAAATACGTACTACTGGTCAAATTTCCGTAACACATTTCACAGCTGCGTTGTCGGCTTAGTGCAGTCTCGGCTCCGGTCGTCTCCGGTGCAGCCGTCGGAGAAATTAGTACGTAGGTATCTCCCGGCCGTTTCCATAGCCCAATGCGTAATACCTCGTTAGAAGCACTTAGGATAATTTGCACTCGATATCTTAAATATCTCAAACAAATTATTAAAGTAATGAAATGTCCAGTAAAGCATAGCATCTCTCAAATTCAGTAACTCATCAGCTCAGTATATATAGCTCGCTTATGCTCCCGTCGTTCCCGGTACTGCCGAATGCCGGCTGCAATACCAGAGCTATGTTTGAGCCCCCAGACAGAGTTATCTCTCAAACTACATGCATTATCCGGGTGTGTCACTTGACGGTTTTTGCGTCACGCCTCTAGCAATGCAATCGTTGTCTTCGTATACGAAGACAACGTTACGAAGGCAATGCTATACGGAGCTGCTTTCCGCTTATGTCTTACCCCAGTAATACCGACTTAAACCTGCTGAGTCAAACTGGCTTTTATCTTAAGTTTGATAACAATTGTCTCAATGATGTTGTCGTCTCAATGCAGAGCTTGATTATGAGCCGGTCGTCTCCGGTATCGCCTGCTTATGGCCTTGCATAGTCCGGTCGTCTCCGGTATTGCCTGCTTATGGCCTTGCATAGTCCGGTCGTCTCCATTATCGCCTGCTCATGGCCTTGCATAGTCCGGTCGTCTCCGGTATCGCCTGCTCATAGCCTTGCATAGTCCGGTCGTCTCCGGTATCGCCTGCTCATAGCCTTGCATAGTCCGGTCGTCTCCGGTATTGCCTGCTCATGGCCTTGCATAGTCCGGTCGTCTCCGGTATCGCCTGCCCATGGCCTTGCATAGTCTGGTCGTCTCCATTATCGCCTGCTCATGGCCTTGCATAGTCCGGTCGTCTCCGGTATCACCCAAGCCTGTGTCAAATGCGCATTACTGGTCAATCATCGGAAACTTATGGCCTTGCACCTATGGCCTTGCACCTAAATCGGTCGTCTCCGATGTCGCCGATGCTTATGGCCTTGTAAATATGTATAGTCCGGTCGTCTCCGGTATGGTCTGCTTATGGCTTTGCACCTAGTCCGGTCGTCTTAGTATCGACTGGCTTATGACCTTGCATAGTCAACGCTGTTGCATAACGCATTATACCGCTCCGCTTAGGGCATAATTGCAAGGCAAAGCGGAACAAGCGAACGTGTCGGTGATAAGCGTTTCCACTGTCTCCTGCGGCGCCAGACACAACAGGTCGCCCTGTTCATCGGCGGCAACGATATCGCACGCAGGGTATTCCAGCAGCTTGAGCTCCTCTGCAGCAGGTTGAGGAGCTCTGCATGGCTGTAATTGCTATATGAGCTGAATCAGTTATATAGTTCGCGTATACCCCGTCATGCTCAGAGACAATCTTCGGAACGCTCGCGCTTTTACCCCTGGACCTGTTTCTCTGGGGCGGGATGGTGTCCACCCTTCGAAGATATGGGGCGAAGGGCTCTGGAAGCGTTCTTACCTACCCTTGTTGAATTTAAGATTGGGCACAGGCAATGAGCTAGCAGAGGAACATGACAGTGAGCAGTGTGTGCTACTTTCGTGAGGTGTGTTGCAGTGCGCATGATGTGGAACATATGATGTGAGCATGATTTCTGTCTTTTTCATGCCTGCCACGAGTCCGCCTGATCGACACACCCAAAGCCTCGGCGTCAACACGCAGCAGCCGGCCTGACAAGCACACCTCGTCCAGCGTCGCTCCGCAGAGCACAAGGGGCGCCCTCAGGGGCCGCTCAGCGCCCAGAGGCAACTCCGTCGCCGCTATGCCCCGACGTTCTCCAGTCCCTGCACTGGCTGACGCAGTAGCATCTCTGAGGACTGCTCAGTGCCCAGCTACACTCGTCCGCTACACCAGCAGCCCCTGCCGATACCATCGCGATCAGCACAAAGCAGCTGCACGGGATAGTCGTCGGGATGGTTCAGGCAGCCAGTCGCGGCCGCTGCACCAGCTGTCATCCCCGTCCCATCTACGCAGCACACGTCGTCGGGACCATCTCTAGGTCTCGAGTAGCCGGCGCAGTTCCGGAGGAGACGAACACCCAGGTAATACCTCAGCTTCAGCGACATGCCTTTAAAATTAGATATAAAAAATAACAATTACAATGTGTGTCCGCGGACATCACTTTTAGTGTATCAGCTATCAGATACAACATCGAGAGCCACCGTTTTGTCAATCTTGACAACTGGTTTTGTACCTCTGATCCTCGCTATGAGGAGTCTGTAGTGTCGGCACCTTCAGCGTTGTGGGTGGTCTTCTGCAGCCAAGCCATCCATACGCGTCATCCAGACATTCGCAGTCAGTAGTTTTTGTCCGATATACGGGTGGTTACTTGAGCCCATCCTGAGAATGTCGCTCACATGCGTCAAGTCAGCTTTCTCTCAGCTCCCGGCATGGGGCTCTCCTGGAGGGAATATGACAAGTTTAACACGCGCTAGTGAGCTCCCTCCACACCTGTACAGTGTACAAAGTGGGGCGAATCTGATGCTATTTCGCCAATCTGGCTCAACTCCACTGGCCGCGGCATCACCACTCACCAGCGTATCAGCAAGGTAGGAGCTGGGGCGTTCGGGGTGCGGAGTTCTCAACTCCTGTGTTTCCGGTGGATGCACGCACGGTCGCTGCCACTACAGCCACTCCTGGCGTGTCTGCCGCGGAAACCACGGCGCTCTCCGCTGCCCCCGCCGCAACGCCATTCGCAGCCAGCGGCCGGTCACCCCTCACGCCGCCCTACTCGCTCCTCGGGAATAGCAGACTACCCGCTGGCAGAATGCTCGCCATCAGCGTGCCACATGTCGTTCTTCGTGAGCTTCTTAGTAGCTATAACTTATTTCTTGCGCCCTATGTTGGTGTAAGACTTCGAAAACTGCTTCATAATTGGATGTTTGGGGGCTGCTCTCAGTAGCAAGCGGCAAAATCTATTTTCATTCGTGTGATCCGTCGCCCATTATAGTGGATGCATATGTCAATTGCGATAGACGCGCGGGTCGCATTGCCGGTC